AAAACCCTTAACTGTAACTCCTCTCTCTATCTCAAGGCTCCTCTGGTTACACTTTGCCACAGTTTCTCCAAAGCAATGCCAGTCTCTCTACCACCATCACCAGGATCTCCTTCTTACTAGGGTCTCACTCTACTCTCGTTATCACCAGAGCCTTGCTCTAGTCTCCCTCAAATCCTGCTGCCTCAGTGTTGGAAGTACTCTTTTTTTATCCTAGTCCCATAGCTGTTGATGATTTGCAAGACTACGTGTCTATCGTTAAGGTAGCTGAAAACCAGAGGGAGCTGACCTAATGGCTAGACAAGCCAACTTTTAAGATAATACAACAGATAATATATCACACAAAATATCTATAAATTAAATGGAAACCCCATCAAAATTCCAATAGCCTTACTGCAGAAATTAAAAACTAACTCTCATATTACTATGGATGGGAAAGAGACAATGAACAGGCAAAGCAATCCAGTAGAAGAATGAAGTAGGAATACTTCTACCACCTCATTTGAAAAGATACTATTAAAGTTACAGCCTGTTACTGAAATATAAAAGCAACAGAACAGAATTAATAGTTCAGATAGGAATCTATTCATTTTCTCTACAAGGATGCTAAGTCCATTCAGTGGGAAAGATACAATGTTTCCAGTAATGGTACTATAAAAATTGGATATCTAAATGCAGAAGAATCAGTCAGGATCCACATCTCATACTATAAATAAAATTAAATTCAAAATGGACCCAAGGGCCTAAATGTGAAAACTAAAATCATAAAATTCTCAGAAGGAAATACATGGATGAGACTATGGAGCATAGTGTTTTAATAAGATTTAGTGGAGTACAAGATTTAAAAATAAAATCTCCAGCAGCAAAAGACAGATAAATAGATGGGACTTCATAAAAAGGTAATACTTTATATATCAAATGATTTTAACAACAAAATGAAAGTTTACAGATTGGTATAAAAATCTCATGAATCACAGATAAAGACCTATAGTAAAAAATAACTTATACAACTTAATATCAAAAGAATGAATGATTCGATTAAAAAAAAATGAGCAAAGGACAAGAATATACAGTTCACCAAAAAGGACATTCCAATACCCAGAAAGTCCATGAAAACAATGCTCAACACATTAGCCATTTGTTGTTGTTTGCTGTATTGAATCAAATGCTACTCATGACAACCAATCACATATGACAGACTAGAACTACACTACAGTGGCTTCATAGCTGCAATCTTTATGGAAGCAGATCACCAAGTCTTTTCTTCTTCAGTACTGTTGCGAGGGTCTGAACCTACAACCTTTAAGCTAGCAGGCACAAACTATCTTCCTCTCATCTGCTGATCCTTCTACTTTTCTAAGCATAATGTCCTTTTCTAAAACCTGGGCCTCTTCATAATGTGCCGAAAGTATGTGAGATGAAGTCTCACCATCCTTGCTTCTAAAAAGCATTCCAGCTGCACTTCTTCCAAGAAAGATTTGCTTCTTCTTTTGGTAGTCCATGAGATAGTGGATGCTCTCTAACATCACAATTCAAATGTCTTCCTTACTCATTGTCCAATTTTCACATGCAAATAAACAACTGAAAGTATCATGGCTTGGGTCAAGTGCATCTTAGTCAAGAAAAGCTTAAAGTGGCATCCTTATTCTTTAGCATTTTAAAGAGCTCCTTGGCAGCAGAAATGCCCAGTGCAATATGTTGTTTGATATCTAGACTGGTGCTTCCATGGGTGTTAAATGTAGACTCAAGTAAAACAAAACCCTGACATTTTAATCTTCACTTCATGTATCATAATGTTGTTTACTGGAGCAATTATAAACATTTTTGTTTTCTTTCTGTTGAGGTAGAATCCATACTGAAGGCTACAGTTCTTGAGCTTCATCAGTACATGTTTCAGCTCTGTTGTTGTTGCTGTTGTTAGGTGCCTTCAAGTTGAATACAATTCATTATAAGCAATACTATGTGATACTATGAACAACAAATATGTCTTATCTTGTGCTGTCCTCACAATCTCTTACATAGTTGAACCCATTGCTGTAGTCACAGTGTCAATCCACCTGATTGAGGGTCTTCTCCTTCGCCATCCCTCCATCATCCCAAGCATGAAGTCCCTCTCCAAGAAACAGTCTCTCGTAGTAACATATCCAAAGACTATGAGAGAAAACTTTATCTTTGCCTCTAAGAAGCATTCTGGGTGCACCTTCTCTAAGGTATGTTTGGTCTTTTGGCAATCCATGGGATATTCACCACAGTTCAGAGGCATCAATTCTTCTTTTCCCATATTTGCTCCTGCTCAGCTCTGAGCAGCATAGCGAAGTGACTGAAAAGACCAAGGACTTAATCAGGTGCATCTTGGTCCTCAAATTAACATCACTGTTCTTCAATAACTTGAAGAAGTCTCTGACTACAGATTTTCCCAGTGCAATATATCTCCAGATCGCCTGATTGCTGGTACCAAATCATGGATCCAAGTAAGACGAAATTGTTAACAGTTTCAATCTTTTCTCGATCTATCAGGATGCTGCCTATCAGTCCAGTGTCAACTGGGTCCTCAATTACAAGTATCCTATATAAGTAGGTGATAAGAAAGAACACAGAAGAGAAGATAACAACACAATCAAGGAGATAGAGACTTGATGAGGAGGCCACAAGTCAAGAAATACCAGAATTTCAATAAGCTTCCAGAAAGAGCACAACCCTGTTAACAACTTGATTTCAGATAGGCATAATGATTCTGGATATCTGCCTTCAAAGGAGTAGAGAGAGTTCTGTTGTTTTAAGATGGCCAGTTTGTAATTATATGTTAAGGGAGCCACAGAAATTTATCCAGAATCAAAGGACATTAACAGAAAAATCCTAGTAGAAGGAAAATAAACATACGCCCCAAAATATAAAAAATGTTCAATCTCACAGTACTCAAAAGATTAAAAAGCAATAAGATATCATTTCTTGATTATTACTTTGATAAAAACTAAGTCCAATAATATCACATTTGACAAAATATGCAAGTATGAGCTGAACACTCTGAACAGTGTATTATAACACATTTTCTAGAAAATAATCTAGTAAAAACTTATTTCAAACTTAGTGGGTAGGAAGTTGTACTTCTAACTCAAGGGCAGCTGGTTCAAATCCACCAGCTGTTCCGAGAAAAATCTCCTCTTGTGCAATTTATGTTCTTTGAAAACCTGCTTTAGTGTCAACTTTGAGTCAGTTCCAATTCAATATCACATAACAATTATTAAAAATATATCTGGAAAACATTACTATTTTTTTCTTCAAATAAATTATACTTCTAGGACTCTGAAATACAGACTCAGAGTCAAAGAATCGCAGACAAACAAAATGCAGTCTTATAATGAATGCCCTTGAAAATATTTTAACAGTTAAAAAATTCTACAACAAAGTTTTAAGTTTAAAATGGGAAAAAGACAAGGTTATTGAAAATTAGATCCCAATTACAGAAAAGAATGAGATGAATTATGCTGTTAGGTGTCTTCAGTAGACCACCACTCATAGCAAGACTTTCAACAACAGGGCAGAACCTTGCCCTATTCTGCACCATTGTCACCATCTATATCATGCGTGAGCTATTTTTACAGTCACTGTGTCAGTCCCTCTTTCACTGACCCTCTACTTTTCCCAGCATAATGTCCTTTTCCAAGGACCAGTCCCTGCAAGAGGGAGCTCCAGTGGCCTAATGGCATGAAGCTGCATTGCAATCCTGAAGGCATGCAATTGGAAGGCCAGCAGTTGTTCCACAAGAAGGATGATTAACTTTGTGATTAACTGCCTCTGTAAAAGCACATGAGGGTCATCTATAGGTCAGTTCCAACTCTATGTTACACAGCAAAACCTATGAGTCCCTTCTAAATCAAGAATAAAGCAACTTACATTAGAAAGAAGAAAAAAAACAAACACACCACATATTCACATTATGCAAGGAAGAAAAACTAATTCAAAATCTGATTTCTTGCAATTTATAGCCTTGGAAACTAGAAGGAGGGTCACTATCATTTAGAACCAACTCAAGGGCAGTGGGATAGTAAGAAAGATTAGGTAAATAACATAAGAAAGATCTCTTTTCTACAAATAATTCTTCTGCCATGAAGAAGTCCTTCTTCAGTCTTCAGTTCTTTTATTATATAAACTATCTCTGTTATCACAAGAGCCCCTGCTTATTTTTCAAGTACTTGCGCATTCATTATACTATCAGTGTAAATGACCAACCAAAATTTTATTTCTATGATAAAGTATTAATTAGAAGTATAAAAGTAAAAGGTGATCTGCCAATGCTTCCAAAGATTAAAATTAAACGTGTGAACTAAATTAAATGTGAACTAAAACTAAAAGTCAATTAGAGCTACAGAAAGAGTATAAATATCAAGAAAAGCTTATGGAAGAACAAATCATTTTCCATTAAGTGGAGGAGGGGAACCGTATGCATGAAAGACATGTTGATTCAGATTTGATTTGTCAAAGTGACAAGACAACTTTCTCACTTCTCTCATGATTGAAAATAATAAAATGACACCAGTATACAATGAAAATCATGATGTCTCTAAATTCTGAAATTTTAAAGACCAAGAGGTCTAATTTCTTAGATATACAACTATTTAATTACCACAATATTGAATACCTGAACCCAAAACTGTTCAGAACAACTTTCTGAAATACTGAAAATTTTCTATATGTACTCTGCCAACTTGATAACCAGATATAGCTACTAAACACTTGAAATATGACTACTGCAAATGAATAACTGAATTTTTCATTTTATGTCATTTGATTTAATTTAAACATGTCTCTGTAAGAAACACACTGGACAGGACAGCTCTAGCTCCTTTGGTGCACATGAACACATACTTAAGTTTGTTTCAAGGAGTCTCTTCAATATATGTTCATATTCATGAAATAAGCTTCTATATAAGAATGAACTAACTTCCTTATTGAAGCATATGATACATAAAATATAATTTATGTTTGATAACAAGATACTTTACCAGCTCCATCTGAATCTTCTACCATTGGATTTATTTCTACCATGGTTGCATCATATTTCAGGAAAAGGTTGTAAAGCTTGACCATGTTCTCTGCTGCAGAATCCACAATATTTTGTGGAAATCCCATCTTCTGTGCAAGCTGAAAGAAATTTCATCTTTTTAATATAAATATTTACTTTGTGCTGTTTAAACATTACTTTAAATCCAAAAGTAGCGTATCACTTAAACGATAAACATGAATGCTTTGTAGTTAAACATTAGTCATTAAAATTGCAGCTATTATTACTAATTAAACAAAACTTTATATCCAAACTCCTTAGAAGGTAGATATTATGCACATTTTATAGAAATGAAAGTGATTCAGAGAGGCCAAGTGGCTTGCCCAGATTCCAATTTCAGAGTTTATGCCATAGCTCTAACTTCTCTAAACCTTTTTCTAGCAAGCTCTGGTGGTCTAGTAGGTAAAGAGTTGTGTTGTCAACTCAAAAGTATGCAATTCACATCCACTGGTTGCTCCACAGAAGAAAGATGGGCAATCTCCTCCTGTGCTATTTACAGTCACTGAAAATCTGCTGTAAAGTCAGCTATGTATGAGTTGATTCCAACTCGACATTACATAAGAACAACCATCTGAAAGAGGTGACTTATATTTTATTAAAACTATCTATCACAAATGATTAACAATCTTAATGGTCCAAAGAATAGCCAAAATATTGTAACTCCTCATTTTATCTTTTAGGAAATTTATTAAGTGTGTTTACTAAATACTGAAGAGACATACAATCAAACAAGTATTATTTCATTTAAAATCTCTACCTGATTTAAATTGTTTTGTCAAACATTCTTCTAAGTGGTACAGCACTGGTCTGTGCATTGCTGTACAGAGGTAACTCATGGTTGCTGTGATGCTAAACACTGTGACACTGATGTGTCAAATGTGATAATGGTTACCCGTGGTAGACAGTGTTTGGTGGAGCTTCCCGATTAAAACAAGCTTGGAAGCAGGAATGGCATCTACTTCCGAAATGGCTTGCCTCCGCAAACTCTATGAATTATACTCAGGTCTTTCGTTCACAGGGCTGTTATAAGTCATCTAGGACTCGACGGCACTTAACAACACAACTAGGTACCTAATACACATCAAGCAATGTGCTGAGCCCTGAGGATAAACATACTCAACTCTTGTGGCCTAGTAGATAAGGACTTGTGCTGCCAACCCAAAGGTAGGCAGTTAGAATGAATCCACTAGCAGCTCTGAGGACAAAGATGGGCAATTTCCTCTTATGCTGAGTCAGCTGCGAGTCAATTACAATTTGATGGCATATAACAATGACAGTCCAGTAGAAGAACTGAATCTTGAGTAGAAATTCCTAACAGAAGATACCACTAGAGTTCTGGCTTTGTTTTTCATTTTAAATACATATGCTTAGGTCTCAATCCTGAAGTTATCATTTAAATGTTCTTTAATGGACCACACATGCAAAATATAAAAGTTCTGTAAGCAATTCTGAATTAGGGGTTTGGAAGATATGTCTATGTTTAAAAATCTAACAAAAATGTCACTATTCAAAACACTCTTTTTCAGTTGTTATTTAGGGCTGCAGCACAGTTTTTTTTATTTTCAGTATGTCGTTGCCATTATGTGCCATCAAGCTGAAACCAACTCAGAGCTGACACTCCAGCAGGTTTTCAGAGGCAGTTAATTACATGGGAGGAAACTCCCAGGTAGCAACTGGTAGATTTGAACCATGTGCCTTTGGGTTGGCAATGGAACTATTTACCACTGGGCCACCAGAGCCCCATGAGAAAATTTTAAAATTCTTTGAAGAGAATGTGATTTCTGCAGTCCAATTCCAATAAAGGTGATGATTATATTAAGTAATATAATTTTAGGTTAAGACATTTAAAAAAAAAAAACACTACATAAATAACACACTAAGAAAACTTTTCACTAGATCATAGTCTACCCCTCACAAAATTAAACCTTTGTAATTCTGCTTAACACAGGAAGACATTAATCTGGCAAGAACAGTACGAGATATTGTTCCTGTTCATTGTTCAAAATGCTGTAATCTAAGTAAATCATTCCTTTAAATATTCTTGTAAATCATGTATTTTCTTCTTGATCTAAATTTAACTCTTCAATCATTATGTCTACATATAAACAACTAAGTAAATCAAATTTATATCCTTTGCAAACATGAGTATCATTTACTAATATAAATTACTTCTTTTATACTTTATCATAGTTTTTTCCTATGTCCTTTAAACTTTGTAGCAGTTAAAAATTCTTGCTTTTGCTGTATTTCATATCATGTTTATTTTATATATTGTTTCTTACTAACAGATATTTTATTTTATGCAAAGTTTAATATTTACAATCTTATTTTTAAATGGGTTCCTTATTTTTATACCCAAAGCAAACCATTTCTGTAAGAGACACATTACAAACATTTACCAACCAACCTCTCACAGGGCAGAGTTTGAGACTCCAAGAGTGAGGGTTCTCATTGGGGACAAGAGCAGAAGGAGAAGGACATAGGAATGACAGCACAGAAACCCAGTGAAATTGTAGGCCAAATTTAGTGGATGTGCATACAATGAAAGAATGTCTAGACCAAAAGGGTTCAGAAACCCCAAAAAATAAAACCAGTGATCTATCAGGAAGATAAATAAGACAGTGCCACTACTAAGACATGTCATCAGAAGCATAAAAAATTTACTGCATATGATGAGTACAACCAAATATAGGATACAGAGGTATCAGAAAAGGATGTAATTATAATTTTTCCCAAAAAAGGAAGGGCTCAGGAACAGATTCTATTCCCCAATCCTGAAGGAGTAACAGCTAGGGCAATGGGAACAGTAAGAGATGAGCACCATGACAAAACGAATGGAGGACCACAAAGCCACAAATGGGCAGTGTTAGAAGTAGTCAGTCTGACACCGAACTGTAGTGTATGGGGAAAGGAGAAAGCTTCTTTCTTCTCTACTGCAGAATATAATCAGGCTATAAAGTCAGTGTCATTTACTCTCAGTAGTGACCACAGTTTTTAACCTTTCTAAATCAATGATTCTTCATACTACTTACACATTAGAATCATTTAGGGGGTTTTTTAAAGTACCATTGTCCCACTTACACCCAAAAAGTCTTGAGGGTATGGAAAGCCTATGCAGTGGGTTCAGTAGGAGAAAATTACTGTGATGACAATGTGCAGGCCAGGACATGGAGAGGTGACAAAGGGATACTTGTTAGTTACTGTAGAAGTCTGGGCAAGAAAGAATAAGAGCTTATAAAGGTGAAGTTCTGATACGTAGTACAAAAGGTTAATGGTTCAAACCCACAAGTTACTTCAAAGGAGAAAGCTGGGCAGTCTCTGCTTCTACAGCTTTGGAAATCTAATGGTGTGTTACTATGAGTCAGAAAGGACTGGACAGCAGTGGGTTATAGGGCATTGGTGTCAATAAAGTAGAAAAGCACATCCAAGGAAAACAAGAGGTACTTCTAACTACAACAGGCAGTGGGTGTGGACTGAGTATCTGATCTCTGAAGCATTTCTGTGTAGTACTTCCTACCTACTGTGATTAACCCTTCTACAGAGACAATCCACATGTGAGTATCAATGTCCTACTGTATATGCCTTAATATTCTACATGCCTTAACCTCCGATATAATCACTATATATTAATTTTTTTGCCTCTCTTAAATGTTCCATTCCAAAAGGCAATACACAATAAGGTACTGGTTAGACAGTTTAATTAATTAATTACATTAGTCAATAAAAAAAATTATAAAACAAAATGTCAATGAATGATTCTACAAAAAACTAGTATCATTTGTATCACTCACTCAAATAAAATAATAAAAAAAATCTAATAGTTTAAAAAAAAGTTCTGTCCCATACAATTTATAGGCAATCAAGGTGGCACAAGTACATGTTAAAAATGCCACCAGGGGATGCAAATAGCAATATCTAGGCTGAAAATTGATGCAAAACAATTACTCAGCTTCTTCCATAAATAAATTAGGGAGAAAAAGGTGTAGAGAAGAGTGATAAAAGGAACTTATAGATTATCAAAAGATCAATGAGGGGAAGCTCTGGTGGCCTAGTGGCAAGAAGCTGCAACTACAATCCCAGAGGTGCACGGTTCGAATCCACCAGATGCTCTGCCGGGGAAGGAGGGGCAATCTCCTCCTGTACCAGTCAGATCTGATTTGACAGTACACGCACACAAAAATAATAAAAATCAAAAAAAAATTTTTTTAATTTAAAAAAAAATCAATGAGACATACTAACCCATAGTAATGAAAGGACTATGAATTCTGAACAGCAGAAGAAAAGGTAATTTCAATCAAGGAATGACTAAGTAAATTATATTAAGGAATTACTACTCATATTACTAAGTATGCTTCAAATTACACAATGAATTATTTATCGAGTTTTAAAGAAAATGTAACTATTTCCAAATGTGTTAAAACAAGACACTGACATTGAGATTTCAAACCAGATACTGTTTTGACAGTTTTAATATTTGATAAAAAATATTGGCAATCATTTCACTTGTACAAAGTTACTTTTTCTTTCAGCGTTCTTCAATCACAAGTTTTTCAGGCTACCACATACCCTGAGAGCTTGTTCCTTTTTGATGCCTTCTACAATATCAATCGGTTCTTTAACAATGGCCTCGGGACTCTCAGCAGCAACGTCCTCAATGTTGACACCACCCTGAGAACTTCCTATTAACACAGGACCCTGGCAGGGAAAAATCAAAACATCTAGGTTTAACTTAGGACCAGCCAATAAAATTATTATGTCTACAATTCTTTCAGAATGTACATTTGTATCTACAGCAAAATGTTCCCTTATAAAATAAATGCTAAACTGAAACAATGGAAAAGATGTGTGGTTTGCTTTTGAGGGACAAGGACTAAAAATATATATGAAAACTCATACTCTCTATTTATATAACTATACACACTGAAATGAACATGTTATTCTTATACTCAGTAAACAGTATAATTTTCATTTTGAAAAATTCAAGATTAATTTCACTTTCAATTACAATACCTAATCTTACAATAATATACTCATTTAAGGTAAAATTTCAAGAAATACTATTGCACTCATCATTGCATGGTGAAAAAACAGTCTTTTGAATGTTAAAATAAAACCACAATCAAAAGAAAAAATACTGGCCTCTCTGGCAGCACAAATCCACCAGCATCTCCATGGAAGAAAGATGTGTAAACTTGTTGGAGAGTCAGCTATGAGTCAGTTCCAACTCAACAGCAATGAATTCCAAGTACAATTACTTTTTCAAAGAGTTAACTGTTACTCTGGGATGGGAGGATGAGGGGAACTAAAGAGACTTTTAAAAGTACCTGTCCCCAAAGAGTAAAAGTGAGTGGCTAACAAAAACAAGTATGGGGGGAGATTTATAATTCTTGTATATAATGTCCCGTTGTTGCTATTGTTGTAAAATATGAGTAAATTCAATATATCACAGCAAAATTTTTAATAAAAGAATATATCATACCTTCTGAAACTACAGGGAGAACATTAGTAACCCTAAATAATATTTTAAATTACAGCATAATTTTAAGTTGCTCATCTTCCCCTTAGCAAAGTAATTCATAATTATAAGCTCTTACAAAGATGTAAGAAGCAGAAGGAAAAAAAATTAGGGTTAAGAAGAATGTGCTCATCTAGTTGTTGTTGTTGTTATGTACCATCAAGTCGCTTGAGACTCATTAACGACCCTACGTACAAGAGCTCTAAATGCCGTTCTAGCCTGTGCCAACCTAGCCATCTCAAACACATTAAAAACAGTAGTTAGATGCCACGAAATAGGTGGCAATACCTTAACCATATGTGTGTTGTAAGGCCCGAGGGCCTCTTCGATCCTTGTCTAGGGGAGTGCTAACCTTCTCTCCTTTCATACAACACACTCATGTAGTAGGACATAAAAAGCTTAAATCTATACATAATCACAAAATATCATTTTAGCCAACAGAAGTAGATACCAACAAACATGTAAACATTTTTGTTTTCATTTTCATTTTTTATCTACTGAGAAATCAAAAGACACAGAGAAGATAGCATTGCCTGGGGGGAAAAAAAGATTCTCACTAAAGGCAATTCTTACTCTCACTAATAAAAATTCTCACTGAAGAAAAACTTAAGTATTTAACAGTTGGTTATTAGAGGGGAAATGCTAGAAAAATAACACATGTAAATTCATAATTTTTATTATAGTCTTTATTTTGTTAATTCTAAGATCAAATAGAAAGGTAAATCAAAATTTAAAAGACTTCAAAGTCATTGTCAGAGTAGGAATTGACTCATGTGGGTTTCTGGGAGGCTGTAAATCACACAGGAAGCAATGGCCCATCTTTCTCTCACAGAGGGGCTGGTGGGAGAGAAGTCCCTTGTGTGCTGCACAACTCCCTACAAACTAGCTCACGCGAAAGTAAAGTGCTACTGCTGTTATTAGGTGCCATGTAGTCAAGTTCAACCCATAGTGATCCAGTGGTAAACAGAGGTCTACAATGACTACAGTTTTACATTTGGTCATTACTATTAAATAAATAAACCATAAGTCGTATTCAACTCACCAGCAAGAAACACCAAATAAACAGCTATTTCCTATTTAAATAACTTGGTTTAACTTTCAAAACTTAGTAATAAACCTTCAAACTAATATCTAGTAAATAGCTATAATTTCAAATAATAATAATGCATTAATAATATGCTTCCTTTTTTTGGCAAGTGAATGGAAAGACAGTCTAGAGCTTGGAAATATCCACTGTCACAGAGAGAAAATAGCTTTTGCCTATTTATTCATAAATTAATTCAACCTTTTTCTGTACTTGAATTTGCAATAGTTTTGCATTAAAATAAATTTTAAAACTATGGTTCTATGATTGAAGTAAAAGCCAATATGATCTATAAACTCTAACTCAAATAAAAAAGACTAAAACTTAACTAATTAAAAATATAAAACCATATGACAAAACATTAACAATAAAGATCTCTTTAGAAGGAAACATTTTAATGGCAGTGTTAAGCATTCAGTTGGTAATCAAAAAGTCTGTGGGAAAAGATGAGGCAGTCTGATTCCATAAAGATTTGCAGTCTTGAAAACCTATTGAACAAAACTATTCTGTTTTATAGGGTCATTATATAGTGAAGTTTCATCCATACACTTTAGGCATAATGCTAGGAGGGGCCAGTCCTTGGAAAAAAATCATTGGAAAAGTAGAGAGTCAGCAAAAGAGAAAGAAGATCCTCAAAGAGATGGACTGTCCACAATGACTAAACAATGGGCTCAAGTATATCAGAGATAAGAATGGTAGAGTATAGCGAACGGTTCATGTTCAACAGGTTGCTATGAATGGTAGTCAATTTGATGGCACATAACAACAATATAGGTTAGAACTGACTCATTTACAGTGACTTTGATTTGGGGTATAAAGATAAAAAAGCATGTAAAATAAAATCTGGGATTCTTCCAGAACATTTTCTATTTATTCCAGGCAGTAAAAAATTTACAAAGTTAATCACTTATTTTCAGCAGACTGGAACATTTTGCCAGAAAACTGAAGTCGAAAATATGATTTCTAAACTAAATTTTCTAAGCACTAAAGGATCAAATAAGCACTAAATAGCAAAGAGAGTAGGTACTTAAATTGGTTTTTTTGGCACCAATCCTAAAGAAGACTTCTAGAGCCTATGTTTTGTTTTCTAAAACTAGATAAATTCACCTGCATAATTTTTATGGATTAGCTGTTTCCTATATACCAAGCTTTAATTCTGTCTAAAATACTATTTTATTTTTAGTTTAAATAGTTTGAAATTCTTTAAATTAATTCAAACTTGCCCTCTTCTGCAATACTTTAACATATCTTTAATGATACATATTCAGTTTGATAGATAGATAGATAGATAGATTGATCCCAATTAAGACAAGTCACTGTGATGTACAGCATTATAGGAGTCATCTCTATTTCTTTAGATACATATTTATTGGATTTCTGGCTATAACAAAAAATGTAATAACTAAAATAGGACAGTGGATGATAACTAATGTTAATTAAAAGAAAAAATTTTAAATCTTTAAAATTAATTTCTATAAGAATAAGCAAAACAAAGGTTATCATCATGATATTGCTAAAATAACTTATAAAACTAAATTCTGCTATAGTAAAATTCACGTATTAAGAAAAAGCAATGCTTTTCATCTAAATAGTCTGTGTAGGTTTTTACTACCATCTAGTGTTATACTCTAAAAAATATTTTCTCATAAAAATTACAAGTTGCAAACAGACACTCTACTATGCAAAGATGATGGGGGAAAAAACCACAAAAAGTTTGTTCTGCATACAAAAATTATTTTCATGACTCTTAAAATTTTTGTTACTCTGAATTCTACAAAATAATATTCTCCATCAAACTCTTATCAGGGCTTGCCATTATATTCCTAGTCTGCCTTAAGAGAAGCTATTAGTAGCTACAATACAGATCTATGCTGCAATATCTAAGAGTATACTGAAAAAGTAGATGACATAACTATCAATACTATAATTATCACAATATCACAGTAATAATTATCAACTGTCATAGTATAATTACCAATATTCTCTCCAAGCTCCAATCTATGCTTTTGCTTTGCCCTGATTCCTTATGTTTACTGCTTGCATTTAAGTCTATAAAGAACAGACCTACAATTAGATTCCTTGTTGACAAACTGTAACTGACGATAATGCTTCCACTCACCAAGCACCAAATGTTCTAATGACAAACCTCAAACTATAAAAGTAGAAGGCTGAAAAAGAAAATCATAAAGCAGTGGAAAATACAGTCTTTTAGTAAGTAGACTGAAACTTTCTCTTTGGTTAGAATAGTTTATTATGCTAAAAATTATTTTCATCTGTTGGAATTGAGGGTTTAAGAGGAAATAGTTTCAGTTGTTTTCAGTGAATTAACAATGTGAAATTAAATGGAAAATTTTAAAAAATCAGAATTGCCTATAGTTTTCTATTCTGCCACAGTCTTTCATCCCCATATAAATTGCAATAATAACTAACTGAAAGTGAATGCAATAAATTCATACTATAGAAATCATATCTACAATTAAATACTCACTTGAAATGACCTTTCCATTGTTATTGCAAAGTAGTATTCTCTCCTGGGATACCTTCTCTCACAGACCAATACTTGATTGCATATCCTGCCCTTTTTCCCAGTTTGCTTGGTAAACAACTTTTTCCCAATCATTTGTGAGGAAACAGCTTTTGCTTCTTCTGGACTAAAATAAGAAAAAGAACTCAAATTCTTCTGCTCCAACTGAGGAAAAAAATCCGTTATGACTGCCAAAATCTTATCTAATATTTAAATCTCAGTATTTTCATCAATTTAATAACAAAGAAAAGAGTATCTTATACAATATATATTTCCCTTAATAAAAAATTTTTCTTCAAAAAATGTAACTTACGAGAAAACTATCTTCACTCCTCCTTTGAGGCCACTTTCAAACGTCCCTTTTCCTCTACCGCCGGCTAAAACCTGTGCCTTTATCACAACATCTTTTGAACCTAAAGAAAAAGACTTCTCTTAGATATGAAACATAAAGCAGTATGCAAGACCCAGTATTTATTATTTGGCATACATATTCAGATGTGTTTTTTAAAAACAATTGTCTCATTTATAACACAATGTCTTCTGCACACAGATTTTCTAGCAGATGAGACCACACCCCATCTAGAAATCTAGTAAGAAATTAACTACTCTTATTAAACTGGTTTTTTAAAAGCATGATGAAAATACTTTTTTTGTCTTGACACCTTCACTTTATACTACTTTAAAGGTATTAGAAGTGCAAAACTGAAAAATGCCTAACATTTCCACCTCTTTCCTGTATACAAACTTACCTTTCTGTGAATATGTGACCTGTACATTATACTGTTGAGTAGAAAGGGAGCTCTGATGACCTAGTCCATAGAAATTGGCACTGTTAACCCAAAGGTGGCACCTTTCTGGCAGTAGTTCTGAGGGAGAGATGGGCAATCTCTCCCTGTATAATTTACAGCCTATTAAAATTCCCAGCAGGGTTTGCTGTGACTCAATGGCAGCTAAACTGAGGGAGCTGTTGTTGTCATTATGTGCGCTGCATCACCTGTGACTCACAGCAACTCTACATACACAGCTTGAACCTCTGCCCTATTCTAAGCCAATCTTACTACCTCCAACACACCCCACCCCCCATCTAACAATTCATCTCATCCAGACACTTCCTCTCCCGCACTGCCCCTCCACCCTTACAAACATGATTTCCTTCTCCAAGGACTATCCCTCCTGGTAACACGTCCAAAGTATGTGAGACAGAACTTCAAAATCATTACCTCCAAGGAAGACTTTCCTGCACTGCTATCAATTCAGTGTGTGTCCCCCGCCCCCCGCAACAGAAAGCCCTGCTAGTAGAAGGGAAACAGTTTTGTTATGAGGAGAGTTCCTGGCGGTGCTGTGGTTGAAGCATTTGCCAACCAAACTGCTGGCAGCTCAAATCCATTAGTTACTCCACTGGAGAAAAGAGGAGGCAGTCTGCTTCCAAAACACTCATGCCTTGCAAACTCTGGGCAGTTCTACTCTGTCCTGTGGGGTTGCTGATTTGGAATCAACTTGAGAGCGGTGAGTCTGGTGTGGTTATGAAGAGTATTATTAGAGCTACTAAGATATATTTATCAAAAGATCCAGAACATCATTAAGTCTTATGTCTATTTTTTAAAGGAAATATATTACCATTACTCTTTAATAGGTAAGCTAATCATAATTTTTTTTTCTCCCCTTTCTAATTTACTGTAGAAAACTAAGAAAATATCTTTTTAGCTCAGGACAATCCTTGTCCTTGGAGAGACTTCATCTGAATCCTCAGAAAGGCAGAATGCCAGAGTCCTGTCTCAGCTCTCAACATTCCACTTCATTGACGGCAAAGCACCTATATCCAGTATGGCAAAATAATTAGCCCATGAAATCAGGGGTAAGGGCCCTCTTTAATTCATTAAACTCCTAGCACAAAGCAGTTTCTAGTATATAACAACTACTCTTACATCTCACCAGGCTGAAGGATACTCTTCCTGTTGTTGTTGTTGCTGCTGCTGCTGTTGTTATGTGCCATCGAGTCACCTGCGACTCATAGCAACCCTATGTACAACAGCCCTAAACTCAGTCCTATCCTGTGCCAATCTCACCATCTCCAACACACCTACCCCCACTACCCCAGTCACTGAATCGATCCATCTCATTGAGGGTCTTCCTCTCCTGCACTGTCCCTCCACCCTCCCAAACATGACATCCCTCTCCAAGGACTGGTCCCACCTTGCAACATGTCCAAAGCATGTCAGATGAAGCCTCAGAATCCTTGACTCCAAGGAGCAACCCGGCTTTACCCTATCCAGGACAAACCTGTTTGTTTTCCTAGCAATCCATGGTATATTCAATACTCTTCTCCAACACAACAGCTCAAAGTCATCAATTCTGCTTCTATCATCTCTAGTCATTATCCAGTTCTCTGTGTACATTCAAGCAAAAAACAAAGGGGGACACTCTCCTACCTAATGAGATGAACAAACCAAATTAATGAGGTAACAAGAGCTGTTTGAAATCAATCAAATAAGAAGTAAATAATTTACTATAAACTGATGTTTTTAAAAATTATGTTAATCAGTGGTATACACCAAAAATGTATACCACTGTTTAAAATGGCTATGTGAATCTGTTGAAGGTATTGATTTTTTTAAATAAAACAAAAAGTGTCTTCCTTACAGATCACATTAATCAGTCAAGAAATCCTACTGATCTAGAATGAGACCACTCTTCATCACCCACAGTTTAGATCCTGCTGCCAGCCACAATTATCTCTTACCTAGACTACCTTTGTCCCTGAAAGAACATTCTCAAAACAGCAGCCACAATGAGCCTGACACTCTTCTACCTAAAGCCTTGCCCAGGATGTGCAATCTTCACAGCGTAAAAGCCAATCATCCCAACATCCTTAGTTGTGTTAGCATCTATGCCCAGCTCAGTGCTCACTTGAGTAGACTCCAATAAACCAGTCTCTTTTCTAGTATTGGAGCACTCCTGCCTTTACTCCTTTGTTCTATTTCTCTTTTGGGTGTCCGTAAAAGAAAGATTCTTATCCCCTTCAAGTTTTTCTCACAGTGTCAATGGGTTTGCCTTAATCACATTCTTAAATTACAACGTAATTGAACCAATCCCTCTCTCCTGCTTAACTTGTTACCTACAGAATCTACTGTCTGCTAACATAATGGCTTCATTGTAAGGAGCTGCACTGCCAACCCAAAGGCACATGGTTTGAACCCACCAGTTGTTTTGTGGAAGAAAGATGGGCAGTCTCCTCTCGTAAAATTTACTGCTTCTGAAAGCCCTCTAGGTCAGCTATTGGTCATTTCCGACTAGACAGTACATAATAACAATGGCATGGAGGAGCTGTAGAAGCCTTCCCTCTTAGACCTTATAATCAGATTCAATCTGATCCAGCCATAGCATAGACTTTTGTTGACGCCGAGATAGTATTTAAAATATATTTAATGTGTCTCCAAGATTTAGTCCTTT